CCTCGTACCGGGGAGCAGACAGCGCCGAGAAAGCGGGGAGCAAGGGATGGGTTTGCTTTAAGTTCCCTGGGGAGATTCATCTGTACAGGGTGAGGTGGCGTCTGGGAGGTTTGGCTTTTAGGTCGGGGTAGGGAACACCGACTTTAGCCACCCAAAAATAAACAGCCATCAGCAGAGCTAGGGGAGTCGCTTTTTTCTGCTTGTTCTAAGATGAGGAGTAAAGCCTCAAAGTTGTTTTATTTGACGACAAATTGTTATTAGCCTTAAATATTTCTGCTTGGTCTGTGCTGAGATTTGTGGGATCTGACGGTGACTCAGTGCTCAAAAATTATGGAAGAGGAAAAAATCCTGACAGCGGGCTGCGGAGAGATCAGGTGGAGTTTGATGCAATCATTTTATGCAAGAATAGGAATGGTTTTAGAACGTCCGTGAAATCAAAGGTAGTTCTAAATAATTAATGCCTGTATAGGCAAAGGGATAAATTACGTGGGCAAATACAAAGCTTAGTTTTGACGATAGGACGAGGGGGAATGGTTTGAAGCTGCGCCAGGGCAGGTTTAGGTTGGACATTAGGAAAAATTTCTTCCCCGAAAGGGTTGTCAGGCTCTGGAATGGGCTGCCCAGGGAGGTGGTCGAGTCCCCATCCCTGGGGGGATTTAAAAGAAGGAGAGATGAGGTGCTGAGGGCCAGGGTTTAGTGGTGGGATGGCAGGGTTAGGTTAAAGGTTGGACTCAATGATCTTAAAGGTCTTTTCCAACCAAAGCGATGCTATAATTCCGTGGTGTGCGATGTTTTACCCCAAACTTTGAAGGCATAAATATTTGCAAGCAAAAAGATAAATGGAAGATGGGTTAGTCTGGCGTGGCTTTATTAGGAGCTAAATTACAACATGCTGGGTTTAACAACTCATTTCCCAGACCAAGGAAACGTGGCGGCTCTGGATCTGTTCTCCACCAAAACGGGTCAGTGAGGGGCCCTCTGGAAGTCATCTCCGAGTCAGGAGCAGGCGGGGACTGATAGGAAGGGGTGGGTGGTGCTGGAGGACGAGGTGCCAGGCTGGGGACCGGGCGTTGCTGGAGTTCCTTTACTGAGAAGTTGCAGCTGGATGTTAGTTGTTTCCACAAAAAAAAAAAAAAACTTTTCTGAAAAGGTGGGGAATAAACTCATGGGACGTGCTGGGATGGAAGCTGCAGAGAGAAGTACCATGGTTGGAAGAATGCCTGATTTGGGAGAAGGGTTAAACTTCAGAGGAGAAGGAAAGGAAGACACCTTCAACCTTAAAAATTATGGTGTGACAATAACTGGTTTATGAATAATTCAGTGTGAAAATTAGAGTTTAATTTTTTATTTATTTATTTTTTTAAAATGAGATACATCAATCCTGCACCAGAATATTTGCAATCTGGCTGTCTTTAGTCCCTTGGTGCTTTTTGTGGCCGTCGGGGCCCTTGTTGCCTCTTGGGATGGGTGGGAGCTCAGTAAATGGGAACATTGCCCACCTAAGGGCTGCGGCAAAGGCTGCCGGGGGTGCTCAGCATGGGGCTCGTGGGGGTTTGCCCAGGGCAGGTTTTGGTGGGCAGGGGGGCTCCACGGGGCAGCCTGGGGTGAGGCACTGGCTCCGTTTGTTGCTCTTTTTCTGGGAAGAGAGAGCTAAGATGACGAGAAGGACTTTAGTAAAGCAGTAATTCATAACGTCGTGGCCATGTTTAAAAAAAAATCTAGGCATGTTGGAAGGATGTACGGTTGACTGGAATCACCCGATTCCCAAGCTATACAATCGTTAAACTCTATCCCTGGGAATTTTTTTGAGGTGTTGGCTACAAAGAGCTCTTCAACAGCAAAGCACCGGGGACGGTTCTGCGCAAACCGTGGTCGCGATGAAGAGTGATCAAATACGTTGCCATAGTGCATCTTGGCTGCGTGGTGAACGGGTCTCTGGAAGCCCACAGTCCTTCGCTGTTGTATGAACTTTTGGGAAGTAGTCATTTTACCCGGCAGTATTCAGGAGGGTTGGTTTGCTTGGGGGTTTTTCTTTAAATAATATTGAAAAGATAAAAGTCCTTTTCTTCTGAACAGGGTGCAGGTTCATCCGCATTTCTATGACAACTGTAATAGATAGCAGATTGTACCAAGGCCAGCCAAAAATGTGCTTAAAAAAAATAAAAATAAGTTGAGGAACACACATTTTAAAGAAAGATGGTAGCGTGGGAGGGATTTCCTGACAGGAGGAGTAGTCGGAGGGCAAGAGCGGGAGCGACCGGCGGGGGATGCTGGTCCTTGGGCAGAGACCGTGGGTTAAAGCGCCCCTGTCCTGCCCAGGAGTTACTCCCAGGTTGCTTGGCCAACCTTTCCGTAGTGCTTCCTTGGGTTTTAGTGCAGGCTCCCTTTTCGGTACAGCTGCGCGTTCCTTGGCATCCACCCGCTTGAGGTTGCACCTGAACCGCCCGGCTGTCGCTGAGCTGCAAAACACAAGACGTTAAACGCAAGAGTCTTTTGGTGTTGTCGTTGCTTATCCCACCAGAGTACATCACTCGGCATACTAATGAAATGATATAAAAGGATTTAGCCCTAATTAAATAAAATCTGCATTAAGTTACTATGGTAACTGTTATGTCTGTGTCGAGCAGCTCTAATTACAAGACTGCACGAGCCTTCCTGGTCGAAACACCCAGCGGTTCTTAAACTCGGTATTGTAAATTTTAGTCCTGCTTAGGAGGAGACTAAAGCAAAGGGTGGGACGAGCCTAAACAAGGAACTGGGCAGTTGGTGAGACTTGTGGCGATGCCAGAAGTGTCAGTGAAGCGTAGGGAAGAGCGAATGCCAAGGAATCGGTGGTGTCTGACAGAAGAGCAAAGCTTGGTAACCCCAAAAGCATCCGATGGGAATCTTCCTTCGCCCCTGTTGTTCACCCCGCTGCCTGTTGCGCCTCCAGTTCTGCAAACCTGGGCCCTCAGCCACCTTTAGTTTCATCTTTAGTTCTTGGCAGAGCCTAGAAAGACAGAATGTTGCAGGACAGCAGTTAATACACAAGCCGACGTAGATCACACCACGACTGTCGTGATCGGGCAGAAAAATACCCATCTCCATTTGACAACAGGGTGCTAAAGTCCGGGGTGATAGGGATGCTTATGCTTGTGCGGTCATAGCGAAGGCACTAAACTTACGGATTTTGGCTCCAGTAGTGGAAAGGGACAGTCTGCATCTAGGGGACGTTCATCAAATTCTCTTCTTTGTCTATAAATTTTTTTTTATTTTGAGTCAGTCGTGGTACTCACCAGCATATGAGCCAGGGAGCATGCGCTTGGCATCTGTGCCTCACCTCTGGTCCTGCCGCGCTCAGCACCCCTGCTTGCTGCTTTCTGTGGTGCTCACCACGCTGGGCTGTGCCTCCGCTTGGATGGTCGGGAACGTGACTCTGCTTTGAAAAACATACTTTTGTTTATATTTACACGTATATTTATATATGAAAAAGTAAAAGTTCTTCTCTGTTTCTTTAAATATTATGTGATCCTGGAAAATTCAAAGACACGGATAACATCCATGCCCCCCGCTTCCTAGGGTGACACCTTTCTGAGCTGGTGGTTTGTGCATGTTGGTGCTGTAAGGACACAGGACCCGCTGTGCCCGTCACCCAAGTCCGTGCGCTTTCCTTGCTACCAAGAGTTGTGCCCCTGCTGTTTCCCTTAAGCTTTTGCTTGAAATTCCCTGCTGAATTGTGGCCTGGGGAAATAAATCAGGAGGTGGCTGCTCCCCATCTGCCGGAGTCCCTCCTGCTATAAACTCGGCACGGTTTGGATTTGGTTTAATCGACCTTTTCTGCATGTTTTTATTCCAGATTTGGCAGTGCGGCGGCTCCCTGGAGATTGTCACCTGCTCGCACGTCGGCCACGTTTTCCGGAAGGCAACACCTTACACCTTCCCCGGGGGAACGGGGCACGTCATCAACAAGAACAACAGGAGGCTGGCAGAGGTCTGGATGGATGAGTTCAAGGACTTCTTCTATATAATATCCCCAGGTAAGAAATTATTTTCTGATCATATTACGGAGCGTAAAGCCATCCGAAAGATAGTAAAGTGTAAATATAAGGCACATATAGGTAAGTGTAGGCGTGTATGCATGTATATGTACTAAAAGTTGAGACAAAACAGCAAAAGTACTTTCAAAATTCAAGGGATTGTCCTTTCCATGTGTCAAACCCTTCTACATCCTGTTCCCAAGGTAAGAATATTACTTCAGGCTCCTACCCTCCCGGAGATCAGAAGGGGTTTTTATACAGAACGTTACTCTCATAATGTGAGTTTGCAACCAGGTAGGAAATGTTGGTCTTTAGAATGATGTAACCACCCTCGAGTCTCTTCCACGGCAGTTTTTGTGTTCTTACTTTCATCCTTAAAAATTTACCTGCTCACTTGAAAAATTCGACTTGGAGATAATCCAGTTTTTATCAAACTTAGAGTTTTAAACAAAACTTTTTTCTTTCCCCCCCCCCGAACAAACACGAGAATCAAAAACTTTAATGGGTGGCCATGATCAGGAAAAAAAAAAAGAGTCCATACCTTCAGCGCTGGCTCTCCAGTGCAGACTGGTTTGCCCCTGTATTTCAAGTTGTCCTTTGGTCACAGCCAACCTCGCAAAGCAGGTGTTTTGAGCTAAGCCTTTTCTTCCTGTAAATCAGGACCAGTAGTTTTATTTCATTTGATTTGGCTGAAATAAATCAACAAATAAGGTTATTTTTCTTCTAAGGATTTGTGTATAAAATGGAAAACTATTTTGGGTGGGTTTTTTTAGCCCAAAGAGCTTCACTGATACCTCAAAATTAAACAGTTAATAAAAACTAAATTCCTCCAGTTCAGAAGCCAGAATATATGATGTCTCAAGTATGAAAACCAGTTATTTTTCATAGTATTTATAAATTATTACTCAAAATGTCCGTGGTAGAGAGTAGCCATAGACTATGTTAGCTTTTGTTACTATTTTATTGTGTGCTCTGGGATAATCTTCCCATTCTTCCATCTTCAAACTTTCGTCCAATTTAAATTCTGTAGCAACAGAATCAGTTTAGATTTTCACTATCACCAAGAACTAAACCCCAGACCATATTATTATCCGTATGAGTTTTGCGTTTCATCTCCAGCACAATTTGCTGTTATTATACCTCAGCTCATTCCGGCTGCAAGCCTGCTTGTTCCCACAAGCTGTTCCAGTGCTTTGATTTTTCCAGCTTTAGGACATCTCAGTCAATCACCAGGTGCCAACATGTAATCCCAAGCTGTGAAGTTGGAAGACTCTTGGTTTCTGCATGGGTTATCGCACGCGTCCTGTGGCTGTCGCAGTATGTGCTCATAAAATATTCTGAGCTTGTCCTGGAAAACCCTTATCAAGCCAAAAACTTCAAAGCACCATAAAAAAAAAAGTCTGCGCACATCTTAAGCACCCTGTTAATGGTGTAAAAAGGATAATTTATATATTTATACCTTATACATCTATATTTAGAGTATATATATAAATCATCGAATCACAGAATCCCAGGTTGGAAGGGACCTCAAGGATCATCTGGTCCAACCTTTCTGGGCCAGAGCCCAGCCTAGACAAGATGGCCCAGCACCTTGTCCAGCTGAGGCTTGGAAGCGTCCAGTGTGGTGGAGTTATGTGTGTATAGCCAGAAGATGCAAACATGAAACAAGTCTTAAAAGAAATGTCAACAGACTGATGGTCCCTGTCAATCAGAGGTTTGGGTTGGCACCGAGTGTTTTTGGGAAGCGTTCGTAGGGCTCTGCCTTCCGCTCGGAGAGAGCCGCAGGCAGGTTTCCTCTGTCCTGTTGAAATACCTTCTCGGGTGCATCTGCTGGTGGTGCTCTGGCAACAGGGCTCAGGGTGGAACCCCTACGGAGGAACGTCTGGTCTCCTCTGGAAAAAGTCAGTCCATTCCCTCCAGGGAACAGCCTGCGAGGAAATGTTTCTTGGTCCGGTAGGAGGGATGAAACCATGGAAGAAGTCTAAATGTTCCTGACTTCAGGACTGGTAACGAGAGCCAACCTAGCTGGCGAGGTTACCTACCATCCCTCTGCAGCCTGTGTTTTGTACGGGTGGCAGCAGGATTCCTGGAGGGCAGAGCAGGGTCTCCAGAAGCCATCGGTACCTTCAGATCCTGTTTGTCCTCTGCTGGCTGGCTGTCTTCCAAGCTGCCGCGAGGATGAGTTGCTGCCTTGGTCTGGAGGAACAGGTCCACTATTAAAGCTACGGGTGTCTATCGTCGCTTCTAGTGCTACCAAACAGACCTCATGGGCCCCACCTGATGGAAGCGCCCTGCGGATTTCACTTTTACTGGATTTAACACAACGCAGAAGATACACGCCCGTGAGTGAAAAACCACCACATTGACAGGATCCTCTTAAATATGGAAATGGAACTTGGTGTGAGATAGGCAGGATCGTGTCCCTTTGTAGTTGGTAATTACATCTACCCAATTAGAGCTGAAGGAACAGGATGCGGGACAGAAAACTTGGCTGACTTTCTAACGTAATTGGTTTCTGTTCTCCTGCAAGAGGAAGGGAAAAAATTGGAAAAAATAAATATAACGCTAACAAATGCGTGTCCAACGTGATCTAAAAGTAAATTCAAACCCCACAGAAGATGCAGGCAAGTTCAAACCATAAATGTATCACATGGGATTAGCTGTTCTTTAATTCAGTTCTCCCTTAATTCACTTCTCCCTTACTAAGTTCTCTCTTTGTGCAGGCTCGTAATACCAAGTTCCCGTTGCGTTTTTGTTGAACTAAATGCATTTCTAATGATTTACCCTGAAGGCAGACATTTCCTTACGGGCATGCGGTGTGCAAACACTAACAGTGTGTCTTCACCACGTAGCGTATGTGGTAAATGCATTGCGCTCCGTGGGCTCCCATGTTCTGCCTCGCCAACAGGTTTTCCTGGGCCGATGAGGAGTTAGTGGCTTTAAAGCATTTGGCTGAACTCAGGCTCTAAAAATATCATACTAAGGGCTGTTTAAAATACAATACATTTTAAATGAGGTATTAGCAAAATGCATTTACATGGTGGAATAATTGAAAAATCCCCGTTTCAGAAAGAGTGCCAGATGACATTGCTGCTGTGTAGTTGCCTAAGATGTGTTAATAGTTCAGTTCCAAATTGGTCGTGTTTTAATGATCAAGTTCCTAAATGCAACACTCCAAGTCCTGGATCGGAACTTTCTCTTTTTCCTCTCTTCCATTGCTTCTCTTCTTGTTTTGGCATCCTCTAAGCAAGGGTCCGCTGGGTTCA